TCCATATTTAGTAAATCTACCATCAAGAATCAGACCGCCTGTATTGTGGTTTATCTGGTTAACGTTAAGATGGCCACAAAGTCAAATTGTTAATTAACTGTATGTGTACATTTATTGAGAAAGTTGATAGCACACATAAAACACAAATGTTTGTTTTTACATGTGTGTTTGTTTTTATATGTGTGCTTGTTTTTATATGTGTGTTTGTTTTTCTTAATAAAAATATGTAATATTATGGATCACAAGGTTGAACTTGATGGTCTTTTTTCAAACTATATTACTATGTACATGATGACAACTAATTCCAAAGCACAGCTGCACTTCATTGTTATATATATGTTACCATGATAATGTGGTCACACGACTGGGTCAGTGGCGGATCCAGAGCCTGATCTCAGGAGGGGCACTTGTAGATTATTTAAAGAAATAATCCAGACACAATAACCACTACAGCTCAGTGTAGTGGTGATGGTGTCAATAGTGCCGGGACCCCCTCCCAGAGTAAGTAGTCAAACCGTTTAAGAACAGTTTGACAACTTACCTGAGGTCTGCTGGGAAATGGGGCTGTAGTAGGGCATAGGAGCAGTGGTGTTTGTGAGTGGTGCAATGTGTAAGGGGTGCAGTATGTGTGTGTGTGAGGGGGACAGTGTGTGAGCAGTGTGTGTGTGAAGGTTGTAGTATGTGAGTGAGGGCAGCAGTGTATGTCAGGGATGCAGTGTATGTGTGGGACAGTATGTGTGTGTAACAGTTGCAGTGTGTGTATGTGTGAGTATTGCAGTGTATGTGTGAGTGTGGGCAGTGTGTGTGTATGGGGGGGCAGTATGTGTGTATGGGGGGGCAGTATGTGCATATGGGGGGGCAGTGTGTGTGTGTATGGGGGCAGAGTGTGTGTGTGTGTGTGTATGGGGGCAGTGTGTGTGTATGGGGGCAGTGTGTGTGTGTATAGGGGAGACAGAATGTGTGTGTGTGTATGGGAGGCAGTATGTGTGTGTGTGTGTGTGTATGGGGGGTAGTATGTGTGTGTGTGTATGGGGGGTGATATGTGTGTGTGTGTATGGGGGGGCAGTATGTGTGTGTGCATGTGTGTGTGTGTATGGGGGGCAGTATGTGTGTGTGTGTATATAGGGGGCAGTATGTGTGTGTGTATGGGGGCAGTACATGTGTGTGTGTGTGTATGGGGGACAGTATGTGTGTGTGTGTGAATGGGGGCAGTATGTGTGTGTGTGTATGGGGGCAGTATGTGTGTGTGTATGGGGGGCAGTGTGTGTGTATGGGGGGTATGTGTGTGTGTGTGTGCATACTGGGGGGCAGTATGTGTGTGTGTGTGTATGGGGGGCAGTATGTGTGTGTGTATGGGGGGCAGTATGTGTGTGTGTGTATGGGAGGTAGTATGTGTGTGTGTGTATGGGGGCAGTGTGTGTGTGTGTGTATGGGGGGGTATGTGTGTGTGTGTGTGTGCATGGGGGGGCAGTATGTGTGTGTGTATGGGGATGTATGTGTATAGAGTGTGTGATAAGGGTAGGGGGGGGGGGCT